GCCGTGAAGGTATCCACCCACACAAGAAGGTACTTAAATTTTTTGACACGGGGCATATGAGTAAAGTCAATTTGCCAGTTTTGCGTGGGAGTAAATCCTCACACTTGATGGGTAGGAAAAGGAGGAGGTCTTAGAAATCCTTGGCGATTGGTAGAGTGACAGATGGAGCACTGAGATTGATTGTTTTAAGGATGGACTTCCGTGAGGGGAAAGATGAGAGGCTCTCAGAGACGGGCTGAAGGCTTGTATCCTACATGAAAGAGGTTATGAAAGGAAGAGAGGATGGAATGAGCTTGCCAGGCCGGAAGAAGGAATTTTCTGTGATCTAAAAACCAATTACCTTGAGTGGGAAGTGGCTGATACTTTAATGACTCTAAGGTTGAATAAAGAGGATTAATTGATGAAAAAGAAAAATACTGTCCACTAGGTGGGGATAGCAGTGCATTGGCTGCTTTCCTAGCTGTCTCATCTGCTAATGCCTTTCCCTGAGCCATGGGATCTGAAGTTTTTTGGTGCCCTTTACAGTGGACAACCCTGGCCTTAGCTGGGAGAAGGGCAGCTTTAAGGAGGCCTTTATTAAAGAAGCCTTGATAATGGAAGATCCTTGTGTAGTGAGAAAACCTCTTTCTGCCCGTGTGACAACCTCTTTCTGCCCGTGTGACAGCGTGGTGATGGAGGATGTGGAAGGCATGTGGAAGGCATGTTTGGAATCAGTATAGATATTTCCTCTGAGCCCTTTGGCCAGGGTAAGGGCACGTGTGCGTGCTATTAATTCAGCCTGTTGCGAAGTAGTAGATGGAGGGAGAGTGGCAGCTTCATTGGTAGAGGAATGGGAAACAGCATAGCCAGCCTTTCCTGGAGAGGACTGCTTAGGTGTAGAAGAGCTGCCATCAGTAAACCATATGTGTTCTGAGTCTGGAATAGGGAAAGAGAGATGTGGGGGAAAGGGGAAACAGCAGTATGTACTAGGGACGTGCAGTTACGCGGTGCCGGAGTAGGGTTCATGTTTGGTAGTAGGTGAGAGGCTGGATTCAAGTCGGGGCCACGCGCAGCAGTCACAGTGGGAGTTTCAGTAAAGAGCGAACAGAGGTGGACCAGACGTGGGGCAGACGGCAGCTGTGGAAGGTGAGAAGAGGAGGTGAAAGCCTGGCGACTGTGGGAAGTGTATAAAGTCAGTGAAGCAGAGCCCGTGATTTTGAAAGTTTCCAGAACTGGAGCGTCTGCTGCGGTGGCCCACAGACACTGGGGCCAGCCTAGGACAGTGAGGTCCAGTTGTCTAGAGAGAAAAGCAACAGGGCTCGGACCTGGCTCTTGTGTAAGAGCTCCAACCACACAGTGCTGGATTTCAGCAGTATATCATGGAAAGGGTTGAGACAAGCTGGGGAGAGCTAGGGTGGGAGCAATTTTTGGAGCTGTCTTTAAGGAACAAAGCGAGGAGGAGGAAAGGATTTATTCTTTTAGTGAGTTTATACAATGGCTTAGTTAGAATAGCAAAACCTGGCACCCAGAGGCGAAAGTAGCCAACTACACGCAGGAAGGAGAGACGCTGTTGTTTGGTAGGAAGCTGGGGTGTCAGAGCTTAGCTGGACTCCATCGCTAGGGAGAGCGCAGGTGTTTTGTTAGAGGATGATGCCCAGATGGGTGACAGACGTGGAAGAAATCTGGGCCTTAGAAGGGGACACTCGATATCCTTTTAAAAACAGGTGCTGAAGAAGCAGGACGGTGTCTTGCTGAGAAGTTTCATAAGAGGGGCTGCACAGCAAAAGGTCGCCTGCATATTGAATGAGGTGGGAAGATGAGGGGTCTGACCGAAGTAGCGTGGGCTGTCCCTGAAACCCTGAGGCAGGACGGTCCAGGGGAGCTGCAGGGTGCAGGGGGAAGTGAAAAGGCATCTTTGAGATCAAGGGCAGAATAATGGGTTGTGGGCGGAGGAACTGAGGACAGAGAGTATATGGGTTCTGCACCACTGGATGTATAGGGAGGACGATTTGATCAATAAGGCGGAGGTCCTGAACCAGCCGGTAAGACTTGTCTGGTTTTTGGACAGCAAGATAGGAGTGTTGTAGGGAGGACTGGTGGGTTTTAGGAGGCCATGCTGTAACAGGTGGGCGATAACAGGTTTCAGCCCTTGCAAAGCTTGTTGAGGGTGGGGTACTGCCTTTGGGCAGGGTGGGGATGATTGGGTTTTACTGGAATAATAATGGGCTTATGTTCAGTGGCCAATGGCAGAGTGGACGCATCCCAGACCCTCGGGTTGAGATTTGGGGATACGAGAGGGGGTTGTGGGGAAGGCTTAGAGCTCGGCGAAAGGGTGGCTATGAGATGGGCTGGAGTCCAGAAATAATTAAAGAAGTAGACAATTTAGTTAAGATATTTTGGCCTAATAAAGGGACCGGGCAGGTAGGAATGACCAAGAAGGAGTGGGAAAAGGAGTGTGGCCCTAGCTGACACCAAAGCTGGGGGGGTTGGATGGTCTAGAAGCTTGGCCGTCAATTCCCGCAACAGTAATAGGTGCCAGAGAAATTGGCCCTCAAAAAGAGGGTAAAGTGGACTGGGTAGCCCCCCGTGTCGACGAGGCAGGGGACGGACTTACCCTCTACCGTAAGAGTTTCCCATAGCTCCGCATCCGTGATGTTCCAGGAGCATCCGGCTGGCGTTAGTCTTCAGTGGTCAGGCCAAGGAGACCCGGGAAGGAGCCGGCTTGGGTTCCAGGTGCCGCTGGGGCGTCAGTAGTGCGGGTTGGGCAGTCCCCCCTCCAGTGGGGCCCCTTGCAAATAGGACATGGCTTGTGAGGGGCAGGAGGCGGCCAACAGTCATTTGCCCAGTTGGGTAAGACAGAAGAGAGTTAAGATGGCAGGGTGGGGTGAGAGGCTTGTTGGGGGACCACTGGGTGATTAGGGATGATGGCGAATGCAGGCAGGGGGTGAGGGACAGTCAGCCGAGGCAGGCAGGACTTCAGACTTTCTGGGTCCCGGCTTGCACATGGAGACCTGACAGTAAGTAGTGTAATGTTTTTAAAGTTCATCCATGTTGTAGCATGTATCAAAACTCCATTCCTGGCGAGGCACCATGGCTTACTCCTGTAATCCCAACATTTTGGGAGGTGAGGCAAGTGGATCACCTGAGGTCAGGAATTCAAGACCAGCCTGGCCAACATGGTGAAACCCTATCTCTACTAAAAAGTACAACAAAAAATAAGCCGGGCATGGTGGTGCATGCCTGTAATCCCAGCTACTCAGGAGGCTGAGGCAAGGAGAATGGCTTGAACCCAGGAGGCAGAGGTTGCAGTGAGCTGAGATTGCGCCACTACACTCCAGCCTGGGTGACAGAGTGAGACTCTATCTCGGAAAAAAAAAAAAAAGAAAGACCTCCATTTCTTTTTATGGCTGAATAATACTCCATTGCACAGACAGACCGCATTTTAGTTTGCCGTTTATCAGCGGGTGGGCGTGTGGGTGTTTTCTACCTTTTGGCTGTTGTGAATAGTGCTGCTCTGAACACTTGTGTGCATATTTTGTGTGGATTTCCAGACGTGGGGGGGGGGGTCCTGAATTGTCCCAGGTGGTGTTTACTCACCTCCTTTTCCCATGTGAGAAGAGGTGGTAGCTGGCTCCTCCCTTTGGAGAACTGTCAACATGGGTGGCCTCAGTATATTCTTTTTTTTTTTTCCTTCTTAATTTATTATTATTTTCTTTTTTTATAAAAAGACGGGGTTTCACCATGTTGGACAGGCTGGTTTCGAACTCCTGACCTCAAGTGATCCACCTGCCTTGGCCTCCCAAAGTGCTGGGATTATAGGCGTAAGCCACCACACCCGGCCAGTATATTCTTGTTGAATGAGCTCGGTACCTCAGTATCACTTACGCAAACCACAGACATTGAGTCCCGAGTGAACAAGAGACATAGGCCGTGGCCTTCATAGCACGTCCCCGGGAGCTGAGAATATTGATCCACTCATCTCCCTCAAAAATGTGATGTCACATATGGAGACTAGGCTCCCGGGGGGGCCCTTCATCTGTCTGATGTCCCGGGATCCTAGAAGTAGCCTGGCAGGGGTGGACAGAAAGGGCCTCCCTTAGGGGCAACACTTGATCTAATTGAGTGAGGAGGCAGGGAGAGCAGTCTGGACTCAGCGGCCAGCATGTGCAAGGCCTGGTGGTTGAGAAGTGGGGCTGCCTGGTACAAGGGATACTGGGAAATTAGCAGGGGCCAGACCATGTCCAGCTCCATGCCTGCTCCTCATTGGTGTCTGTCCTTATGGAACTCACGGTTATTAGATATTGGGAGGACTTCGCGGTGACTCACACCTATAATCCCAGCACGTTGGAAGGCCATGGTGGGCAGATCACTTGAGGTCAGGAGTTTGAGAACAGCCTTGCCAACATGTCAAATCCCATCTCTACTAAAAATACGAAAAAATTAGCCAGGTGTGGTGGTGTGCGCCTGTAGTCCTAGCTACTCAGGAGGCTGAGGCAGGAGAATCACTTGTACCCGGGAGGCAGAGGTTGTAGTGAGCTGAGATTGGGCCACTGCATTCCGGCCTGGGTGACAGAGTGAGACTTCGTCTCAAAAAAAGCAAAGATGGCCGGGCGTGGTGGCTCATGCCTGTAATCCAAGCACTTTGGAGGCCAAGGCAGGCAGATCACCTGAGGTTGGGAGTTCAAGACCAGCCTGACCAACATGGTGAAACCCCATCTTAAAAAAAAAAAAAGAAAAGAAAAGAAACGGGGAGGACTTCATTCATTCATCAAATAACCAAATACATGCTGGACCCTGAGGACAGAGCTGTGAATGAGACAGAGAGTCCTTGTCTTCCTGGGGCTCAACCAACCAGCCATTAGGCAGTGATAGGCACAACGGGTGGGGGTGACCAGTGCTTGGCCCGTCGCCTGCCTCTGAGGGGAAGGAGTGGAAAGGACTGTCTCACGGGAGGGACAGAGGAGGGGCTGGTGAAACCTGGGACCACACTAGTTCTCTGACATGTCTTCCTGCACCCCCAGACAGCCACTAAAGTCCCGGAGATCCGCGATGTGACAAGGATTGAGCGAATTGGTGAGTGAGTGGGGTCGCGAATAGGACGTAAGCCCTTTTGCTATGTGCCTGACCAAGCAAGCCTATTGAGGGACCCCTCAGAGGGAGGGGAGGTGGCCTGCACACCGACTGCCCCTACTCATCCCCCCACTCTCCCGTCTAATGGGGGAAGAGGATCCTGAGTTCTGGAGTTGGGTCAGATAATGCATTGGCTACCCTGGTGGGGTTCCCGGGTATACTTGCCTGGAAGTCATGAAAGTAGGTATGTACTGGGTGCTTTACTGGGTTTGGCCTCATAGACCCAGCATATACTCAGGAGTGAGTTCCCTGAGGGCAGGGACCAGGCCTGTCTCATTCCTAGCTGTGCCCCTAGCACAGGACCTGGCAGAGCAGATAATCAAGGGATAACCATGGAATGCATGCGTTTGCATCCTGTGGAACCCTTGCAGCAGCCCCATGACGTGCAGATTGTAACTGTGAGCTGACGCAACTGAATTTCAGACCAGTGAAGTCACTGGCCCCGGCTCACAAGAGCAGGAGGTTGAGGTGCAGTGGGGCTACAAGGGTGTGCTCTCACAAAGAGCTTCACTTGCAGGGAAGAGACCACATTCATTCATGCAGCAGATTTACTCATTCAGTGCCTCCGAGAAAGGCAGTAAGGGTGCCTGACTGTCAACATGGGTTAAGAAACTCAGTGCTGGATTCCTGCAGCTTAGCTCTGCCACTTTCCTCCATGTGGCCAGGGACTAGTGCCCCTCTGTGCCTCAGTTTCTTATCTACAAGATGAAGCTAAGATAGTTCACCTCATCAGTTAATGTAAGATTCAGTCACCCAGGCACAGTGCCTCATGCCTAGAATCCCAGCACTTTGGGAGGCTGAGGTGAGTGGATCAGGCCACAGCCACTGTCTGTGGCTGCCTTCGTACTGCAACAGCAGAGCTGGGTAGTTTCAACAGAGGATACCATCTGGACCTTTAAGAAATACTTGCTGAAGTTAAATTGTCTCTGTTTGCAGATAACATGACTGTATAAAA